GCTAAGCCAAACACCACAGTATAGTAACCTACATTTTCAATGTTGTCCTCTGGTACACCTCTCAGTCGTGAATATAGATACAAATGCTCTTTGGCTGTAAGTAGCTCATCAAGTGCATCAAACTGAGGACAGTAGCCCATGGTCTGGTGTGCATCATGGATGTTTGATAGAACACTGTAAAGAGAATATATGGAATGCTGTTAATCGAAGTATTATAATCATCCGGGTGGATGTAGTCCTGAGAAGGAGTGTTTGATGTGACTGACGTTTCGTATGGAATGCTTTCACAGCTCATTTTTAAAGATAAGTTTACACGAGCGATTTTTGCTTGCGATTTTTGGACGCTTTTCATTGAGTCGAACCAAACAATATGAACAGCCAGTCTTCAAATGGTACAAGTCTGTTTTTATTAGTTTTTAGAACTGGTTCAATCAATTCTATAGAACTGACGTGTACCATCTGATAACTGGGAGCTCGGACGGGTCGGGTTAGACCTAATGGACAGCGCCCTGAAATTACATAATTTCCCAACCCACCACCCCCTAGGACAACCAACGTAAGGTGAGATAATTAGCCCAGTTTTACTGCGGTTTTGGATATTCTGCGAACTCCGACATTTCAACGGCTTGTTGTGAAATTGGTTTATCTCTGTTGCCAGTCAAGAATACAAAAGGTACAAGATTATCAAGAAAAAAGATTATTTTTGATTGACAGCAGCGAAAAATCAAATTTCAGCGTGCAGCTCGCAACTACCGAGTTAGCAGAATATCCAAAACCGCAGTGACAATTTAATTTGTTGTATATAACTTTACCTGTAGCCATTAACGTATGCCTCTCCAGAAGTTACAGGAATGTCTCCAGTCAGCATTTTGAACGTGGTTGTCTTGCCTGCACCGTTGACTCCGAGCAAACCGAAACACTATACACARTACATTATGTTACGTTAGGGAAATGCTTTGAAAAATGTTCAACCTCTAGGCTGATCAAAGTCAGGGTATACAGCTAACTCACAGATCGAACCCTGAAACAACCTCTGGGCTGATCTCAGTCAGGGCATGGCAAACTCACAGAATGAAAACTGAAACAACCTCTGGGCTGATTAAAGTCAGGGAACGGCTAACTCACAGATCAAACCCTGAATTAACCGCTGGGCTGATCTAAGTCAGGGCATGGCTAACTCACAGATCGAACCCTGAAATAACCTCTGGGCTGATCTAAGTCAGGGCTTGGCTAACTAACTGATCGAAATGGAGTTTCGCTTTTTAGGTTTTGGGGAGGGAGGAAAACTTTTGAAAATCCTCGAAACAAGGCAGAGACTTTACTCACATTTGATGCCGAGCCCAGGAATCGAACTCGAGACCCTAGAAGTGAGAGGGGGTGTACTCCAACTACGCCACCCTCGATTCCTATTAATTACTAGAGGTTGCTTATATCTCACTACTTTCCATACGTAGACAATAATCTTACCTCTCCTTTAGAAACACCAACACACAATTGATTTACAGCTACATTAGTCTTCTTGCGAACCTTGAAAACCTTAGAAAAAATAAGAGAACGTTAAAAATCGGACCATCGAAAAAAAGCTAAAAAATGGAAATAAAAAAGTCTGCCCAATTTTTTTCGGGCCCCCTGTAATGTCCAACATTTTGAAGGATCTCCTATACTTTATTTATTGATTATTTCGATCCCCCTTTGGAGGGTCAATAAATTGTCAACGCCCAATTTCTTCATCTATACACTGCTTTATTAATGAAAGGTCACAGAGGTCCWAGAGACAGCTTGCTTCGATRATTCTGCACCAYAGACCTTTTCTGAGATAGCAAACAKGGTGCATTGTGGTCTAGCTTGGGTACAAGCATCTCTTGTACATCATGCCTTATATGGTGTTGTTTGTACCCAAGCCAGACCACAATGCATCATGTGTATCTAACTCAGAAAAGGCCTATGTGCACTGTTCAGAAAAGAAGCCGAAGAAACACTACCTTGCTTGTTGTATTGAACCCGAGACCCCAGAAGTGAGAGGCAACTACATTACCGCTACCTCACTTTTTATTCCCTATGAATAACGAATGAATATCAAGATACCTTGGTCAAGTTGACAAGCCTCATGGCGTCGGTACAACTTCCTGTCCCATTAACAACGCGTTGTCTTTCACGTTTGACGTCATCGTCCTCTTCTTCTAGTTGGCTCTTTGTGTTTTCTATTGGTCTGGAAAATCAAAGTACGACAAAAACATTAGACTTCACATCAATGGCAGACACAGAATCTCTGTAAAGCGAGTAGAGACTCAAGAAGCGAGTTGCACCTATCCATGGTGCAGTTTTCGTATGACTGTGAAAAGTTCACGGCACGAACACGGTCATGACACAGCAAGGGATACGGCAGACAAATCACATTGCACGAGAATTTACTCTCCATCCAATCAAATACCCGGAACACAGCATAAACACGGCGCGGACACGGTCACGCCAAGATCACGGCACTTTCAGACCAATCATATTGCGCGTGAAAAAAAAAATCAGCCAATTAAAATTCTAGAAAGTATCACGGTCACGGCACGTCACGCTTACGGCACTGAGCTTTTCACAGTCATACGAAAACTGCACTACCTCTATTAAGTGACCAGCTTCTATTTAGCGATAAATTGTCGAAGTCACAAAGAGGGCTTATTAAACGAAGGTTTTCTACTTACTTTTGTTTGATGAAGAATCGATATTCAATGAGAACGTTGATGATGAAGAAGACAAATCCTTGGATGATCATAGCAAAGATGTTGCGTCCTGTGATGTCCCAACTGAAGGCTGGTCGTACGAGGTTTTGTCCTGAAAATATTAATAGTAATCATTTTTATAGACTGGCGTGTGTGGCCAAGTAAAGGGCTTCTTTCATAATGACTTTGGCCCGGTTGTACGAAGGATGGATAGCGCTAT